TGTTATCCGATGCATGGAGTTGTCTTATTATCCTTTGCATGATTTTCGCTAGATGGCATTATCCGAAGCATGTGCCTCTCTAACTATGAGTTGTCACCTGGTTGGTGAGTTGGCCCTCCATCATTCTCCCCCACTTGGAAAGAACTCGACCCCGAGTCGTGACTGGGGTATGCAAGTGTCGTCTCCGGGAAGTAACGATGAAGATCAGCAACATTCAATGTTTTGGAGATACCCATGTGATTTGGTAAGTTCACTATGTAAGCATTGTCATTGATCTTCTTAATGATCTTGTATGGACCGTACTTCCAAGGCTGTAACTTGTTATGCTTTCCCACGGGTATGCGTTCCTTCCTTAAGAACACCATGACTTCATCACCAACTTCAAACACCTGGTACCTGCGATGCCTGTCAGCTGCAAGCTTATACTTTGCATTGGTCCTTTGAAGTTTCTACTGTACTTCTTCCTGTACTGACTGGATCTGTTCTGCTAGCTGCTCTGCAGAAGTGCTGAGCTTGGGTACTCTGGGTAGCTTCACTAAGTCCAACACATGGTTAGGTACCTTCATGTAAACAATTGAAAACAGGCATTTACCTGTAAAGCTATGAACTGTGTTGTTGTAGGCGAACTCTGCCTGTGCTATGGAAAAATCCCACTACTTCAGTCTCTCCCTACAGATACTGCGGATCAAGTTACCTAGAGTTCGATTCACCATCTCTGTCTGTGGATGGGCTGTACTGCTGAAATTTAGTGATGAGTCAAATAGTCTCCACAGGGTCATCCAGAAGTGACTTAAGAACCTTGTATCTCGGTCCGACGTGATGGCCTTAGGAACCCCATGTAAACGGACAATCTCCCTGAAAAATAGCTTAGCTGTCGTTGTTGCATCTGTGGTCTTCTTGCATGGGAGGAAGTGAGCCATCTTGGAGAACCAATCAACCACTACAAAGACGGAGTCCATATTTCTTGGAATCTTTGGCTAGCCTAACACGAAATCCATGGACAAGTCTTCCCAAATCGTAGTAGGAACAGGTAGAGGCATGTAGAGGCCAGTATTCTAGGTCTGTCCCTTATCTGTCTGACATATATAACACCTACTCACGATAGTGGTCACATCTCTCCTCAATTTAGGCCAGTAGTAACGCCCCTTGACAGCCTCAATCGTCTTGTCCCTCCCGATGTATCCTGCTAAGCCACCCCCATGCAGATCCCTGATGATCTTCTCGCGGAGGGAGGTGCAAGGGATGCACAGTTGGTCTCCATTCATAAGAATCCCATCATGTATGTAGAAATCACCTGCTGGCTATCGATTCATGCACTTTTCCCAAACTTGTTTGAAGTTCTCGTCCTGAGCATATAGATCTTTTAAGCACTCAAAGCCTACAATTTCAATACTGAGAGTCTTGATGAGGGCTACACGCCTGCTCAAAGCATCGACCACTGTGTTCTGTTGCCCAGCCTTATACACAATTTTGTATGGGAATTTATTAATAAAACCAGACCACCTTGCATGTAGATCACTCCTCAACTGTTTCTGCTTACTTAAATACTTAAGAGCTTGATGGTCGGGGTAGAGGACAAATTCTTTAGCAATCAAATAGTGTTCTCAGGTCTTTAATGCTCTTACAACAGCATAAAATTCTTTATCATAAGTGGTCCATTTCTTCTTGGCTTCGCATAGTTTTCACTAAAGAAGGCAACTAACTGGTCTCTTTTCATGTGACAATACAGCCCCTATG